GATGATGATGATGGTGAGAAGGATGATGATGATGATGATGATGATGAGGACGATGATGATAATGATGACGGAGATGACGATGATGATGATGAGGACGATGATGATGATGGTGAGAAGGATGATGATGATGATGATGATGAGGACGATGATGATGATGGTGAGAAGGATGATGATGATGATGATGATGATGAGGACGATGATGATGATGGTGAGAAGGATGATGATGATGATGAGGACGATGATGATGATGATGATGATAACAATAGCTATATAAATCCCGTCATTTTGATGACAATTGTAATGTTGATACCGCGAACTTATTTCCTGATATTAAGGCTGTTGAAAATTACGAAGCTTACAATCATAAGGATGAATAGGACGATGATGATGAATATGATGACGATGATGAAGATTATGCCGACGACGACGATGATGATGATGATGATTACGGGCAATTAATGATAGCATCTCTTTCGATTAATTTGAAGATGTTCCATGCAAAATCGTTTATATGCTACAGAGGCACACGCATATAAATGTGTGTGAGTGTCCGTGTGTTGAATGTATGTGTATATGTATGTGTGTGTATGTGTGCGTGTGTGTGTGTGCGTGCGTGCGTGTCTTTGTGCAGTTTTTCAGTAGTTTTTTTAATCGAAGTGTTGTATAATTGCTTAAAAATAAAAATAATTGAATGGATATATAACTGGCAGAGGAAGAAATGAACGAATGATAACGAATGAACGGGCGAAAGAAGTGAATGCGCAAAACGAATGGATGAATGAATGAACGAACGAACGAACGAACGAACGAATGAATGAATGAATGAATGAATGAATAAATGAATGAATGAATGAATGAATGAATGAATGAATGAATGAATGAATGAATGAATGAATGAATGAATGAATGAATGAATGAATGAATGAATGAATGAATAGAAAAGTGAATAAACAAGAGAAATATAATATTGCAGAGCAATTACAAAAAATAGTTAATTACAACAGTACATATCATCTTTCAGGGTAGCGGCCTTCCAATCTATATGCTACCATTATTATTATTATTATTATTATTATTATTATTATTATTATTATTATTATTATTATTATTATTATTATTATTATTACACACAGAAATGCATAGCACATACATACACATATACACACAAGCATATATACACGCATACATTCATACAAGCATACATACACGCATACATACAAGCATACATACAAGCATACACACACATATACATATACACATACGTATCTGTTTTGACTCTGAACATAATTAATTTTATTAATATAATTTATTTATTTT